CATCATCATCATCACTACCACCATCATCATCATCACCACCATCATCATCATTATCGTCGCCATTATCATCTTAACCATTATCATCATGTATCATCATAATCATCTTCACTATCATCATCATAATAATCTTTATTGATTTTTAGCCATCAGGGGTAAAGGGCCACAGGTTTATTAGTATTTTTATACTATTACGTCCACCCTCGTGTAATARAATATTTATTATTATTATTATAAATAGATAAATCACAAATTTTCATTGTACAAATTACGAATATACGCAAATCATCGAGACAAAAATTACAAATTATGGTAAAGAGGGCCGCGAGGTTATCGATGCTTACAGGTAGTGTTAGGTCAGTATGTTAAATCACAGTCAATTGCTGTTCACTTCTTCCAGTGTGGATAATGACTTGACAACAGAACCGGCAGCAAAGAGACAGAGAACAGAAGATGCTGCTGATGAAACAGACTTCAGTATGGCGGCACAAGCTAAAGGCAAGGTTACGGAGGTAAGCCATCGCAACGCACCAATGTACTCCTAATGTACTATAGTAGGCCTTTTAACCTATAGACCACATGTTATTTTTCCCTTGAGTATTATCTCTTTGTTTTTCGGAAATCTTTTGAAAAGAGATCGGGAAATGTCAACTGCATGTGACAATCTCCAGCTTCCCAAGTTTTCGTGTAACGAATTTCGCCATGTTTTCAGGTCGGTACCGTGGAACCAGTGGCAGATTTCAAGGAGCTTATCAGTCGTAAAGATGTAGATCAGTTCGATGAAGGTAAAATATGKATATGATCTACGTATAGGCCTACTCCTTGCAAAATAGAACAATTTTCCTCTGGAGGGTAGGGGTTTTGTTACGCGACTTCACGAATGTTTTCTTCTTTGGGGGTGGGGTAGGGAATTAGATGCGGTTTACTCTAGTCGGTAGCTAATCTAAGCACATCAATTAACTAAACACTATATCCTTATGTACTTGGTTATCACATCTGCCTCACCCACACCTCCCACTTGACAATAGTGGATTGAGTATTTCAAATCCGTCTACCCCCCTCACTTCCCCCCCTGATCTTTTGGTTCTCCTCTAACCCATTCTTAGTACTTAATATTACATGTTTAATTTCTTTTTTCCCCCACAGCCGCAAAGCAAATGAAAGATCGTATCGTACAACTGATCATGGATTCTTTTGGCGACCAATTTTACCCCAAAGCAATGGATTGTGTCGTAGCATTAAGACAAGAGTCAATCAAGGTATAGTTCACAGAGTAGAGCAGTTATCTTAATCTTTTGGTGACATCCAACCATAGGCCTTTTTTGAGTACGATGAACAGGATGCATTGTGGTCTAGCTTAGGTACAAACAACACCATATAAGGCCTTATGAAYAAAAGATGTTTGTACTGAAGCTAGACCACAATGCACTATGTTCTCTATCTCAAAGCAGGTCTATGTCATTGAAGGTGTCAAAGTAAAATGGCTCATGGACGTGGCGAGATTCCTATAGCTGGAGGGGAGGGGGGACGGGCGCACTCACTATGATGGGGGGGGGGGGGGRGTTACCCTAATWTTTACTCGGCAACATGTGATACCGTGTGCCACAATCTAGTGAGGGAAAGAAATAGAACATTCGTAACTATGACGATCAAGGCTGGCGTATAGCGGAAACGTACGCCTCCCACCTCTAGGTCAGTCTCGAGTTCTATTCCTGGACTCTGCATCACATACGAGTAGAGTTTGTTAGGTCTCCTTAGAATCGAGGGTTTTTCAACAGGGTCACCCGTTTCCCACCCTCAGCAAAATTTAATGCGCCAAATTCCAATTCGATCTGTGAGTAGAAATAGCCGTTCCCCTTACTTCAAACAGCCTAGATATTGTCGTGTCAGGAAGAAATTTTAAGGTTTATATGATTGTAATTTGATTTCTAGGCAGGGGAAGCAGAGATGTTCAATGATTTTCTACGTGATCTAAAGTCAAAAATCTTCAATCAGAGAGGGCATGGATTTTGGTTACGCCTTGTTAAAGGTGAGAGCGTTTTTATTAGTACCACATGTCAGTAAAAATCGAGTAAAAATCGAAAATGGGTGAAAACATTCAAATGATAATCGTACCTTTGCTAATGGTTTTTCCGGGTAAATGGTTAACACCGCCGACAAATAGTACACGCGTCTACCGGGAGAACCAAAAAGAGCGGGAAAAGTGGATTACCTTAGTTTTCTGAATTTTCCGATCGGAATGACACCTTTAATTTTGAGATCAAAAAAACCTTTTACTTTTGCTGGATTTTTACAATCATTCCACTGCAYTTCATAAAGCAGACTTGGGTTTTGATATTTTTAACACACAGATCATCTCACGCTGATCAACAAAGACGAATCTCCAGACAGTAGTCTGACCAAAGATGATGCAACCAAGGTATGAAAATTGCATCGAGACAAGAATACGAATGATCTACTCTATTACTTGTGGAATGGGGATATTTTTCTTCTCGATGGCGATTTCTCGTTAATTTTTGCCGGGTATATCCGTACTCTGTAGAAGAACGATTATTGGAACTTCAAATTGTACTTGTCTAGAACCACGGTGCAACTTATCGCGCAACGTTGTTGGGTTGCAAGTTGCAGAACTGATGTTGCTCGCATTATTCTCCTTTGCGCAACGAATTTTCTTCATTACAAGAAATAGAAGCTCTATCTACTTTTCGCAACAAAGAAAATAAGTTAGTTGTGCGCGGTGTGGTAATATTAGCAACATTCGCTTTGCAAATTATAGCGCAACATCGTTGCACGAAAAGTCGTCCTTATTAAAGTACGTTTACTGGCAACGTTGTACGGAACAGGTTCACCGTGTGTTTGGCCTTTCGAAGGGAGTGCACCATGATAAATTTTCTCTTTTATTTTTACGGGCAAAGTATTTCATGCTTGTAATTTGGTTCCTTCGACTAGCTAAGATTTCAGTAGATTTCAAAAATATGCTCCTGTATACGAGGCTTATCTTTTTAAGTCAAGTCCAACTAGCTAGTCTTCTATCATCAATGCTGCGTTCTGATTTAATGAGCTACTACTAGGCTACAAGTTATAGCCTACTAGTGACGAAAAGTACCCATTTGGGCTCAATGAATGATTGCTAATTATTTTGGATGTTTTGTTCATAGTTTCTGGACGAAGTTACAACTGAGGAAGTTGAAGAACCTCAGGAAGAAGAAATGGATGATGCGGATGACCTGGTAATGAACCAAGGGAAATTTATTTGCCATTCAGAGGTTGAGTAAAACTGGGTCAAGTTAGATCTGTGGTGCATTCTGGGACTGTTCGAGGGAATGGAATAGATACCATCTTAGAAATATCTCAGAATGACTAATAAATTAGGCTTACAAAAAGATCTAGTAGAGACCCTTTTATCTAGCCTATGTGCAGCTTTATTCTCAATAGTTGTACTCCTGGAACCGGTTGTACGAAGGTTGGATAGCGCTATCCGGCGGATAAATCCTCATCCAGTGGATAAGTCGATGCTATTACCCAATAAATGTATCCACAGTATAAGGTTTATCCGCCGGATAGCGCTATCTACCCTTCGTATTACCGGACCCTGGCTCACAGCCCTGGCTTTTCTCTTTCTTCCCTCAGTGACCTTGTCCTGATAGACCCCAAGCGTGATAACATTTTATTTTTACACTTCCAAAATCCTTTTCGGTAGCTTTTTCTGTTATGCTAACTTTCACTACTGTCTTGGTATTATCAAGGGAGTTTTAACATTTCAATRTAAAAGATATTTTGAAAAGGATTGTGGTATTCTAGTAATGAAACGTCATTGGGATAAGAGTCTTTTGAAAGAGGAAATGTGGCATCATCAATGAACGTCATGGTTTCTCACTAAGCTCATTATGTTTACACCCCTCTGCCCCAAACACATGCATATTACAAAAATCTGCCAAGGGGGATGGTGGGGATGCAAATATCCTAGGTCCCTCTGTATATGTCCATAGCAAAACCACACCCTACCACTACATTAAGCGTGTTGTCTTTATTTTCTTAACAGCTTGCCATGATGGACTAGCCTCTTTCACCGTGACAAAAGGTCCTTGCATGACTTGGCAATGAGATGGTTGTGTCAATGGTGTATTTATGGAAAATATATAAATATGTATTAGGAAAACTTTATTCACTTTTATGACAAATGCATAAAGATAGAGATGTAATAATGCACAGAAGAAATCTAAGTGTTTTTCATTCCTTTTAAAAGTTATTCTCACAAGCAAAGATAATAAAAATTCATGTTTGGTCATGGCTAGATAAGAAACTCTTATAAGAAACGACGATGTGTTAGTATTCAATATGGCGGCTAAAAACTTATTGGAAAACAGCTCTTATTTTAATAAGCCAGTTCGTAGTTTAAAAATCGTGCGCATGCGATTTTATCCCGAATTTCTCACAAAAAAGATTTTAAAAAAGGTGATGCGCACTGGAAACAATTCTTATACTACGAACTTGCTTATTCAGATTATCTGTCATTTGTTTTGGAACCAGCTGAACGGTGGATTTTGTTTCAGCCAATCACAGCGCGTTCAGCTGTTTTGCCTCCAGCCTTCATTATCTGGCTACTGTTACCGAACTTTTCTGTATTCTTTCAACTAAAATATGATATACATGCCTTCAACAAGAAGAAAAAAATATCGAAAGAAAGAATAAAGACAATTTCACATTACCGCCACGTTTGCTTTAACCTTTCAAGCTCCATCATTGCTTAGGGCCCTGTCATTTTGTCCACTCGTGCTCTTTGTGCGCCGCGTTCACCGCTCAGCTGTGAAGGGGAATAATCATCATAAGCCCGAAGTTTCTCATTCAGTTTTAGATATATTTGTCATGAAGCGTAATGTTTTCAGTTCAGGAATGAGCCTTTGGGGATACACTACTTGACAGGATAAACTATACGGTCCTTCTCTTAAATACGTAGCAAAGGATAAATAAGATTTTTAAAAAATACGGTCAGGACACCATGAAATACGGTCATGGATACCCTTTAATATGGTCATGGATACCCTTAAATATGGTCATTTGGAAAAAAGATACCCTTAAATATGGTCATCTGAAAAAAGGATACCCTTACATGTAAATATTATATACTATATTATATATATATGAGTAGGCATAATGTTTAGGTTACCCATCTAAGGTTAACCCTCCTCGGGCGAGCTTGACTCAGTATCTTGAACTACAACGATTTATCCACTGGACCACGGTTCCAGGTGAATCAGCATAACAATAGCCGTGAAAACAATGCACCAGATAGACTAGACTTTTTAACAGTATTTATTCAACCGATTCCGTGCGTGRCAGAGATGCAAGGGATTAGCCGATATGGTCTGGGGGCCGGCTGGTCTCTCCCCTGATGCTTCGGCTAGAACATTTTCTTGCGTAATTCGTACACCCAAGGGCAGAAGGATTTAATCGCCGTCAGGTCCGAAGTCCATACGCCGCCTCAGCACTGCGGATGTCTCGGGGGTATGGCAAAGTTGAATCGCGTTTTTTTTATTTCTTTTGGTGGTTCCGAATCCCGTCTTATCTTCAGTTCTTCTTTTAAATCCATTTTTTTTTTGTTGTTGTTGTATTAGATTGAAATTTTCTACAAGAAGGAAATCTTTTAAGTGAAAAAATATTTATTCCTATTCGGTTGCTTATAATCCTGTATATTAAAGTTCGATCAGACGTTATCAGTCACACAAGCAATATCGAACCGCGAAAAGGAGACCTAAATCATATGCTTGCAAAGGACTAGTGGGTGGTGCCGTGATGACGTCTGGGTACTATTGCACTATTTTGGTGATTCTGACATTGGGATATTTGATCTTGTGCGTCATGGCGCAAGACCAAATTCACAACTGAGTAGTGTGACATGCATAACGCAAAACTGTTTATTTTGTGGCCTAAAAAAGGGCAGAACTTGCAAATATTTTAATATCATGTAGAGAACACCTTAAGGGAGAAGATCGTCTTAGACAAGTTAAACGAAATCATTCTTTTGTGTGAACCATTCCATTAATTATATCATGACTAACATTGCAACAAGCCCTCTGTGCATGATACAGGCAACCCAGTGAACGCCTTTAGGGCGTCTTGTTTGAAAAAAGGATGCTCTTAAATATGGTCAAGGATACCCTTAAATATTGTCATTTGAAAAAAGGATACCCTTAAATATGGTCAAGGATACTCTTAAATATGGTCAAGGATACCCTTGAATATGGTCATTTGAAGGAAATTTGAAGGATACAACTACGACGTCATAAATATGTTTTTTTAGTAACAACAAGGGTCTTTGGGTTACCTGTTTAAAGCGGATTTGGTAGAAGACTGGGGATGCTCCCATAATGCAAAGCAAGCATGAAAAGCGCGGGAAGTTCATTCAGTTGATGTTCAACATTTGAACATTTCGTACTTTTTGTGTACAAAAGAGGTCTAAACATGATAGAAAAATTCATAGAAGCAGCAAAAAAGCTTTCTTGTGTCCTCAAAGAACTCGTAGCAGAAAAATCTGAGGAAGATAAATGCACCGTCGCTCTGTTTGAACCAGATGAAGTCGAAGGAGACGAAAAAGTTGACAGCCATCTTTACCAGATAACATTCATCCCTCCAAAAACTAAACATCCTCTTAAACACATCGCTACAAGCTCTGAGAATGGTTTCTTCCTGTTAGGAAAAGCGATGTTAGAGAGCGATTATAACGAAGATGGTGAACACGAGATCAAAATTTCGTTGGTTGAGGTATCGAGGCGTAGAGTCGAGCGAGTGTTGGTTGGTACTCCTATCTCTCAAGAAGTTATCTATCTCAACGGGAGTGAACCTTTGCATCAAGGCAGCAGTTCTTCCACTTCAAACCGTAGCTCCATGTCTAAAAGCCAGAGCTGTGTCTATGATTGGAGTGTAACAAATGTCATCGCTCTGCAGGCTATACCCCTTCAGCAAACACGGTATATTATTTCTCTCTTTGATTACTGTCTGGCAAATAGCTTGTTAGATGGCGTTGACAACATCCYGATGTGGGTTTCAGTGGATGAAAAGAACCCAATGTCAGTTACCCACATGGCAACCTTAAGGAATGGCTCCTCCACAGAACAAAAGTATATAAATCATGTCGTAGTGTCATGTAAAGGACCCTTCAATAAACCAGAAGATATCCCAAGTATGAACCAAATGAAAACCTGGCATAAACACAGGAGTCTGGGGTCACTTGTTGAAAACACTAGCCATGCCTATGCCTCRTATGAACTACTAGGGATTTCGCAGTCTCACGAGGTTGACGAAGAAGATCAGAAAAGCCTGGCTTATGTGGAATTTACCTGGAAAGACATAAGTAGCGTTCTACAACCCCCACCACTAACGTCAGACTGTGTACTACATATCCAAAGCTTTCCAGGAACTATGCAGCTCTCGGCGATATCACTTACCATGGAGGTCAATAAGCTGTGTTCTTTCCTTGCTTTAATTGCTGATGCAGAACAGCCATGGCCAGAATTAAGTTCTGAAGATGTTGAAGATGTATACAGTAAGATGGAGAAGGTCTTAGAAAGTTTGAATGCAGGAGAGGTGTACCAAGAAACTGCCCCTCTGCATGATGACGAGAATGACACGAGCACTGTCTTCTCTCCACTTGCACAGCTATCCCATCAARATTTTGTTCCCAGAAAGGACCTTGATTTCACTGAGAGCTTATGGCTAGTCTTGAAAGAGGCTGTAGACCTTGGTGACCTTACTTCAAGTCTCCAAGTGGCACTACTTGCCCTTCTAAATGGCACTTGCCAGCCTGTCATACATAGTGCAAATAAGACAACCTTGGCTGTGTTTATCAGAGAGCTCCTGCAGTCTGAGACAAATGAACAGAAGTATAAACTGAGACTCAAGGTTGAGAAGATGTTGGGAAATGAAACGGCATTAAAATGCCTTGTTGAAATTGGTGCAGAAAAACTGCTGAGAGATCATACAAACTACTTTTTGTCAGAGGAGCTCATCACCCAAGATCACTTGAATTATTACGTAGACGGCAATGTTCCCTTAGCAGAAAGGGTATTCAGAGTATCAAAGCTTCACAATGTTTTGGACTTGATCCTTACCACCAAATGTGTAGTCAACACAGGCTATACAAATTTGCAGTTTCTAACTCAAGCAGCTCTCTCTTACTATGAAAAGAATGACTCTTGTAATCATCCATTGTTCTCGATTTCTCTCCCCGCATATGGTGCTTCGTCAACGTCAGCTGTCAAGAACATCATCTCAACTCACCAACCTTCGGTGTGGTGCCTGGCTCTGACATCATCGTCCAAGAAAGGAGTGTTGACTTCTATTGTGCAATTAAGTACTGAATCTCCTATGAATAAGTTACCCGATTTTGATGTAGAGGAGTCACAAATTAATGAAAAGGAAGACTTGGCCATCTCTGGGACACTAAAGAGTAAGATTCCTTACTACTTGTCCTTTGCACAACAAACCATGGTTCCATTAATATCAAGCCAGTATTAGATTAAAGGTTCCTTTCCAGCTGGAAAGGGTGCTTTATATTTGCTGTTTTATGGTAAATTAATATTGAAAAGAGGGGGGTTTGTTCACACCTCTCAATCACCCCTGGCAACAGTTCTGGATTGGTAATACAATAAAGCCGAGTATTCACTAGCAATGTAGGTTCACTAAATGCTGGGCCTTGAATAAACACTGGGTTCAAATGAACATCAGATTAGAATAAACACCAGGTGAACCTGGTTCAGTTTTAAATAAATGCCAGAGTCATTTATTTGAAGTCCTGGCATTTATTTGAAACTTAACTATCAGCAGGTCAAATATTCCCCCMAAAAAAGACCTCAGAAATGAACTCTGGAAATCAAATAAACATCAGGTTTGAATAAACATTGGGTTAAAGTGCAAATGAACCCTTCGACAATACTTTCAGTACTGATTCTACATGAAGTAAATA